GGAGGAGGAGGAGGAGGAGAGGAGGAGGAGGTGAAGGAGGAGGAGGAGGAGGAGGAGGAGGAGAAGGACCCTCCCCTCCAACTTATGGTGGTGGTGGTGGTGGAAACCACGCCCATCAATGGTATGGCTATTGGTCTCAAGGACGGTGAAACAAGGCAGACGGACTAAACTGAGCAGTCTGAGGCTTCGTCTTCACACGAAGCCCACCCACTGTCGGAGCTGGCATTCCTTCGTGCTGCCTGGCCCCCTAACTCGATAATCCAATCGAGGCCACAATCAAGCAAGCCATAGCGTCTTAGCACAAGCTGCTTCTGCTGATCGGCCGTCTGCGGGGCAGCCGTAAGGGTGGCCACTTGCAGTCCCCTCGCTGCCTGCCCTCGGCCCTCTGGGACCGCCAGGGGTTGTTCTCACAACGAGCGTAAACGGAATCCTTCGTCCCGTGGGATGCCCTCCGGGGCGCAGCTTCGGCCGACCGGTGCGGCGACGCGGGAAGCGGCCGTGAGACAAGAGGCACAAGTGGTCCTGGTACTTCGCCCCAGCTCGGGAGCCCCTACAGTTGCCACTCATCTTGGCGCCGGGCGCCCTGCCGGAGAAATACCCGCCACAGCGGACACAACATATAGTAGAATCATCGGATCTCTCCCGGATTCGCGAGCGCAGCAGATAATGACCCCCTGTCTTGCATGTTGCCCCGCAGTAGCGGTTCCACGACTGATCCCATGTCAACTCGAGGTCGCACGCGCCCTCTGCATCCGTGTCCCGTGGCAGGCACTGGCCGAGAGTGAGGGCCTCCACCACACCCTCGTCCTACTCCGGGGCCGCGGGCGGGGGCGCCTCTCCCGGAGCCGCTGCGCCAGCGCCACGAGCAGCATTGGGCCCATGCAAAGCGTCGTCGTAGTGCCGGCACCGGCCCTCTCCAAGCACGCTCCGGAGCATCCCGAACCACCGGGCTCTCTAGCGGACCAGCGCTTCGAAGCCCCGCCAGAGAGCCTCATCAGACGCACCTGCACCACTGTGGAGATGAGCTCCATCCTTGGCCAACCTGTCCACTTCCACTGCGTTGTTTGCCGCCCGCTCCCAGTGTGGAGCGCCCAGCCTCCACGTCGGCGGACGTGGCGTGTCCGAGCGTCTTGTGCACCTCCAGATCTGCTCCATCGAAGTGCCCCCAGATGCGCCCCCACAGGAACGGCCCCTGGTCATGGGAATTCGCGCCACTCCCAGGCCCAGCCTTGAGAGTCGAGACGGTGCCGTCGCAGTCGATGTACAATTTGAGCACGCCTGCACACAGCATGAAGACTGCGAAATATTCGCCGTCACGGGAGGTCTGCCGCGGGCCCGCCCAGAATGGAACAAACCCATAGGCCGCCGCTTCCACGTGTCCAAAACGGTCAACTTGAGCGATCCTCCAGTCACGCACCTGGGTGGCACAAAGGCGATGATGAGCCCCCGCGCAGTGTCGTCGAAGCGCCTGGTGCACTGGGCAATCGTAGCAGCGGTGCCATAGCGTACCCTGGGCGCCTCCGCATCGCGTGCACAATCCATCATGCACGAGTCCGTGCCTGAGCAGACGCGCCTGGCACCAGACTGCGTGTTGCTGACGCCTGCTCGCAGGCCGCTTTGATGCCGGAGACTCCAACCAGCGCTCGTGCGTCGAAGGAGCTGTGCGAGGCCACCCCAACACCCTGGAAGCGCGCCATGCCGCCAGCGTCGCCGTGTCCATGTGCCACTGCAGGGTCAGCCCCAATACGGCTGAGGGCCATGCGGTCAGATGCCCGCACTGCCGCGGCCTCGACTAGCTTCTGGAGCTGGAACGGGGTGGTCCGCAGGATGTCGTAACGCTCCTCTGCGTCCGTGGCGAGGTGCGCGCTGTCCTCCACGACACGGCCGACGCGAGCCAAGGTGAGTACTGGCACATCGGCAGGGGAAGTGGCTGTCCGCCATGGTCCCCCCGACTCCGCGGCCTCCTTGCAGGCTGCGGCTATCGAAACCTCCAAGATCCGCGGCTTTACGCTGCCAGTCCACACAGCCTCGCACCAGAGTCGGAGCACATCACCTGTGCAGATACACATTGTTCATGTCTAATTCTTCGAAAGTGCTTTGATTTTTTGGGGGGCCAAGATCCTTTCTTTTCTAATTGTTCTATCCTGGACCTCTTCCTGGCCACTAGGGGGCCGGGAACACTTAGAAACGACCACAATTAGACATGAGCATGATCAGAAATGAACGACGTGTAGCCCCTACCCTGTGTATCATGGCAACGTCGGCGCTCGCTTGTCGGAGGAGTGCGTATCGCCGCGCGCGCTTGCGAGCTGCCGTTTGCCGTTGGCGAGCCGTTGCAACACGGCGGAGGGAACCCATGGCTTTTATGTTTGGTTGTTGTTTCTATACAGTTTCGGATCGGCGTTTTGTCCCCGTCGCTCAGACTGGCGCTGTCGCCACAGCGCGGGTCACTGTTCTAAATTTGGTCCTTGTTTCATCTTTGTGGCCCCCTTCAATTACCTTCCTCCGCATTCCACTGGCTATTCTGCTCCCCCCGCTCCTTCCACTGCACTTCCTAGGGCTGTTGTTCGTCCTCGTTCCCGTCTTCCCTTATCCCCCACCTTTTCCCCCTTTTTCCCCTCCTGCCCATATTCCTGCTCATCCGCCACTGCTTCCTCCACTGTACGCATCTCTTGTTTCCCGATTGAGCACAACACGATTGGGGTCCTCTTTGGAGTTCCATGTCTACACTGGTACCCGTCGGCAGACAGAGAAACACGCCCCGGGTTGTAATGGGCGGTAGGGGTCGGATGTCAGATGTGGATCGGACGCACTTAGCTTGCCTCTCTCCTCTCTTCTCCCTCCTCTCTCCTCTCTCCTCTTCCTTCCACCTCCTCCGTCCTCGTCCTCCATCCTCCTCCCCCCTCGTCCGCCCGTTTCCTTCTCCTCTTCCTCCTCTTCCGCCTCCTTCTCCTCATCTTTCATCCTCCTCCTTCATTCTCCTCCTCCTCCGTCCCCTCCTCTCCCCCCTTCATACTCTTACTGAGTACGGCACTGCTCTCCCCTCGCCCCCGATCCTGCCTGAGCTGGGCGCCGCCGACCCTGCATGCTGCTCTTGCCGTGTCTGGTACGTGTGTGTGTGTGTGTGTGTGTGTGTTTGTTCGGCAGGCGCCCGCCCACTCCGAACGTGGTGCATTCGTCTTCCAGGTGCTTCTCCCGCGCTCTTTGCCTGTTCTGGGAGGCGCCCGCGTCGCCTGCGCTGCCCGCACCTGCAGCGATTCAGCATGCGTGCCGCTCTCCCCCCCCCCCGGGGCCCTCGGCGAGCGGGGCGCCTCCCCTCGGCCTTTTCAACAGGGAGGCTCCCGCCGCGCCGCCGCCCCCCTCGCGGGGTCGGCGCTCTGCCCCCCCCCCGTCGTTGTCGAGAATGGCGCTGTCGCCCCAGCGCGGGCCACGCTTCTGGCGCTTGCTGCTTCCTCGTCGTCGTCGTCCCCCCTCCTTCTCCCCTCCGCCGCCTTCCCCTGGTCCTCCTGGCCCCCCCCGCTCGTCCTGCTGCTGCTCCTCCTCCTTCCTCATCCTCCTCCTCTAACTCCCTCCTCCCTCCTCGTCGTCGTCGTCGTCGTCGTCGTCGTCGTCCCCCCTCCTTTTCCCCTCCGCCGCCTTCCCCTGGTCCTCCTGGCCCCCCCCGCTCGTCCTGCTGCTGCTCCTCCTTCCTCATCCTTCTCTTCTTCCTCGTGCTCATCGTCATCCTCATCCGCCACCTCACGGCGCCCCTGTTTGATTGTGCACCGCACGATGGGATCACTTCGGGGACCCAGGTTCGCCAGGACACGCGTTGCCGGATAGTGCGCAAGTCAGCGCAATGGGAACTCACAGGTTGGAGGGGTCGGATGTCAGTTCTAACCCCGTGCGCTCCTATCACCGATCTTCCCCCCTACAAGTCTTCAATCTGAGTACTGCTCTTCCTTCTCTCCCCTGGAGCCTGTGCCAGCGGGGCGCCTCTTCTCCCTTACTTCGTTTGGGGAGGGGTCTGTGTTGCGCGCTTTCTCTTTTGCATTGCATGTATCTACAACAATGTTTCAGCATTTGGTTTCCCGGTCTGTGTTGTCAACTCACGACGTCTTGGGTCTTTCAAAGGAAGGCTTCCGCCGAGCCGCTGCCCTCATTTCAGGGTTGGCGCTCTGCGCTCCCCGTCGTCCAGAATGGCGCTCTCGCCCCAGCGCGGGCACCACTTCTGGATCCGGCTGCTTCCTCGCCATCGTCGCCCCCACCGTTTTCTTTCCTCAGCCTTCCCCTGGTCCTCCTGGACCTCGTGGGGTCCTGTTTTTCCTGCTCTTGCTGCTCCTCCGTTCCTCCTCCTCCTCCTCCTCCTCCCCCTCCCTCTCCTCCTCCTCCTCCTCCTCCTCCTCCTCCTCCTCCTCCTCCTCCTCCTCGTCCTCCTCCTCGTCCTCCTCCCTCGTCCTCCTCCTCGTCCTCCTCCTCCTCCTCCTCCTCCTCCTCCTCTCTCCTTCTCTTAATTACCTTCATCCTCTTCATCCTGCTCATCCTCGTGCCCATCGTCCTCCGCCTCCAGTGCACGCAGCTCTCCTCCTTTCCCGATGATTTCTTCGCGTGGCGTGGCCCTCTTGGGGATCAGGTCCGCTGCGGCCCGCGTTGGCGCATAGCGACAGAAATCAGCGGGAAGGGACAGATGCGGGAGATCGGATGTGAGATATCGTGCGCGCACTTCTGGTGGAAACCCATGCCAAGAACCCCCCTGCTTGCCTCCAGGGTGCTCTTGGTTTCTGGGGTTTCGATGGTTTTGCGATGGGAGAAGCAATGGTCAACGGACGCCCTGGGATCTCAGGGTTGGGTTTCTTTGAAAGGTTTCTTGTGGTCGAGTTCCTACTGTAGCTTGCCTCTCTCTTACCTCCTGTTTCCTCTGTCCCTGTGTCTCTCTCTCTTTCTCTCTGCGTGTTTCTGTCTCTGTCTCTGTCTCTCGCTCTCTCTCACGCTTACAGCCCCAAATCTAGCCACAGCGGCCGGAGGAGAGCACGCGGTGCGCTGGTGCGGCCAGCTCGTCCGACGGCCTCGGATCACCTGAGCCGCAGCCTGCTCCGCAGGGCACCGGGAACTGCCAACTGTACATGTCGCCGCGCCGTTGGTTCCGACGTGCCGCCTTACGTCTTGGGCAGGGCGCCTCGGCCACCAGGGCAAACGCCTCCTCTGACGCGGTGGATTCGCCCTGGATTGCCGCAGTGCCGGCGTTGCTTTCTTAGGCGCGGGGCGCAGGGTTTGTCGTGGGTCCGCTGTGGTGTCGGCGTCGTCCACTTGTTGGACGCGTCATCGAGAACAGACGGCGTCGTCGCCTTGGGCGCGGGGCGCAGGGTTTGCCGTGGGTCTGCTATGGTGTCGGCATCGTCCACTTGCTGGACGCGTCGAGAACAAACGGCGCGGCGACATATGGCAATCGCGACAAATATTGACGAATCCCCGTCTGGATACAGGCTCGGCGTCCAGGTCCCAGTGGCACAGCCAAGGTGGTCTGTCCGCCACTCTTGGGCCGACTTGGGGCCTGGCCAGGCCTGGCGTCGCTGTATGGCGTGCACTTCGCTGGAGCAGTGATCGGCGGCACGCGCAGGAGGGCGGCGCGCGTTGGGTGGCCCTCCGAGCAGGCCGGATGCGTCTCCGACGGGCTCTGGGGCTTCCAAGAGGGCTTCTCGGAAGAAGGGTGTGTTTCTAGGAAGGCCCCCGGCTCCGCAGAAGGGCGCCCCCCTCACGCCTCCCCCCTCTGTGCGCGCCGCCAGCGTGAGACACATGCCAGGCAGCGAATGCTCGCATCCACATGCGACGCGGGCGTTCGTCCCCGAATCTCCTCCTCCTCCTCCGTAGCCAGTTTGGCTCAAGATGTTTGCGTTGCGCAAGCAGGAACTGGATACCGCTAGTCCGCGGCCAGCCCAATCGACTTCCCAGCCACACTCACGGGTGTGCTGGCGCCCTTTCATTCATTTCTCTTTCATATTCGAGGCCCTCTCGTCGCGGAGCACAGACTTCCTCGAATGGCACACCTTCGGGACTCGAACGACACGCTCTTGCTGAAGGCCCTTCTGATTCGGCTCCATCGGCAGGCGATCGCAGTGCCTCGCGCAGTGCAGGCGAACGTCCTCCGCGTCGGCGCCCCAATCACTACGACAAGCCTCGTGGAGACGCGGGTGGCCGACTCCGAGACAAAGACTCTAACCGTCGTCAGTACGAAGCAGAACATACGGCAGCCGCTCGGTCTGGCAGAGCTGGAGGTGGATCAGCTCATGTACCAGGTGGTGCCACGGGACCTGTTCCTGCAGCTGTACCAGGTGCCGCACGGTCCGATCCTCTCCAGCAAGCTGATCCCTGGCAACTCCAGCGTGAAGCTCTCGCAGCTGCCGTGGGGGATGGAAAGCCGCCCACTTTCTCTGCATCTCAACAAGACGAAATTGATTGTGCACGGGCACTTACCATGGCAAGCAAGGGCCAAAGAAAAGGTCCAGCTGCTACCGTGGTCCCTGGAGCGGCGCCACCACCTGCCCCAGCTGCAGGCTCCATCGAGGCGCTGACGGCCTCCTTGTACGACCAGCTCACTCAGCTCGTCGACTCGGCCATGGACACCTTCAAGAAGGCCGCTGCGCGGACGGTCGCTTCCACCATTCACGAGTACCAGCGGCAAACGGACCGACGCCTGGGCGCCACCGAGGGGGAGCTTGCGAACCTCAAGCGCAGCATCGCCGCTTTTGAAGGGGAACAAGAGCGCCATCGACAAGCCATCGATAGCATCAATCGGACACTCGCCATCGCGGAGGCCGCCGTCCCTGTTGTCGTTTTGGCCGCAGGAACTGAATGTGACCGACAACCCGACCCTGCTGTGTTCTCCATTGGATGTCAGGAACTCGTCTCGCCTCAACAACTTCGGGATGACCTTCAGAGCTGGTTTCAGGAGTCTGGCGTAGACTGGTCCTATGCCTCTCTTGTTGGCGATGTGCCTGCCAAGTGCTTCACCCTACGGCTCCTCGGCGACAAGAATGTGGTCGTCCCCGTAGCTACGGCGGTTGCACGTGGTCTCAAACCACGAGGTGGAGAATGGAGATATTTCACAAGTACCTCAGTGCTGGGACAACGAGTCCCTCTCTATGTCAATGCTGACCGCAGTGCCCGACAAATTCGACGGGCAATCCACGCCCGGCGGCTTCACAATATTCTTGAATCTGACTATGCCAACTTCTCGTTCAGGCCCTACAAGCAACGTGGACGAGTCACTCTTGACGATGTTCCATTGGTTCGCTTGGAATGTGGCACTACCGCAGCTATGCCCACCAAGATCGAATGGAATCGCGAATTCGCAGCTCAACGTGGCGTCAACCGCCCCTCCGTGGAAAAGCGCTTTAACGACTTCTTCGACGAGGACAAGGCCATGTCGTGGGGGTAGCAGTCAGCGGGCAGTTCACTCCAATCAGGGCCTCAAGATCATCGCGTGGAGCGTCCGCAACTTGCTCACCATTGACCGCCGGCGTCGTCGAGCTATGCTAAAACTACTTCTTCCCTGTCTGCGACAGGGATATAGCATTGCTGTGCAAGAGGTTTATAGTAATGCAGCTCGTCTTCAGCGACTCCTGCAGAATGCCCCCTACTCCTGCGAGACGTTCTACTCCAACAGTTGGTTGTCGAAGACGGGGGGCGTCGCGTTTCTTCCCCAAGCTGTCTGAGATCGATGTCGCGGACCTGGGCGGCCAGTCGCCTCGTGCTCCTGGCGCCCCGACATCATCGACTGCCTCTACAGCTGCGCAATCTTCATCTACGTCCACCTGTTCAAGGTCTTCCTCTTCGGCCACTTCCTCGGCCTCGTCATCTGATCACCTTCCAGGTGAACTCTCTCGGCTGGGTCACCTGGGTCCACGCGCTGCTCATGACCAAGGGGCGGTGCCCGCGCTGTTTGGGGAGGCGGCCAAGCATGGCGAGGGGTCGGAGATCCTAGATGTTGGCCAGCCAGGTTTGGGAAACTCGCCAGAGATCCCACGTCGCGTCTCCGTAATCCCTAATCGCGTGATGTTACTCCATCGCTCTCTCGTTCCAGGACGTGCTCAAGTCCTCGAGCTCTACCATGGCAACGTCTGTACTGCTGCCCTCATGAACATCCACAACTGTGAGCTCACGCAGGACTAGCGGCGAGCCATCCAGATTGACTGGCACGAGTACCAACGGTGGGCACAGATCGTTCGCTATCGCGGATTTGCATTGCCTGCGGCGGCTTCAACATCCATGACGAGCCCGCCGTTTCCTTCCTGGAGCCGCAGCCCATGGTCCTCGCCAGCATTGGGGGTGACCAGCACCATCAGTCCTTCTGGAAGAACCTCTTCGCGTCGATGGCCGAGGTCCCGAGTGGCGAATCCGCGCGCTTCGACGCTCATGCGATGAAGGAGACCAGGATCGATCGCGTCTTCGTCAGCCTTCCTGCCCATGCTTATCCGAACCTATCGCTAACGCTGAAGGTTGATAAGGATCCTGTCGTACTCAGTGACCGTCGCCTCAGTGATCGCGCGCTGCTGGACCTGACGATTGCGATTGCTGTTCCCGAGACGGACGACGCCCAACCGATCCCCGCCTTCATCTCCCAGCCCCCCCGCTACAAGCAGAATGCCTCGCTTCTTCTTCAGCGCTCGCAGCTGCAATTTACGACGGTGGAGCGACGTTGGCTGGGTTTCAAGGACATCGCGACTGAAGCGGCTCGCCTCGCGCGCAATGAACTCTCCGCGCGCCCTGGCACGGTGCGCTACCAATCTGCTGCTCAGGCACGTTTGCTCACGTATCGTCCCATATCGCTGGCTATATGGAGGCAGGATCTTTCCCTGGCCCGTACTCTCATGAACACCGCGGAGATTGGCAAGGGCTCTCTTTCCATCGCTGAAGGACGGGTTGGCCTACTGGATGAACCTAAATTTGCGGACGTTTCGCGACGTGCTGCTCTCTGCAACGCCTCCATCTTCGCAAAGAGCAAGCGGTCGCCGCGGCGCAGCGCGCCCAGCCGCGAGGTCGCGCGCTGGAATTGGATTATCAACGCAAACAAGCTCGCATGCTACAGAAGCGCAGCAGGGCCTGGGCTCCTTTAGCGCGGGTGCTGTCTCTGACGGGGATTCGCCGCCGGCGAACGAGGGAGGTATCTCTGCGGGCCCCGCGGCGCAAGTGGAAGCCTTGCAGAGTCACTGGCTGACCATCTTCTCGCGCGAGCAGGTTGAAGACCGGGCCCTCGAGGACTGCCTCAGCCAATTTGGCTCGCAGAACATCACCGCGCCGAAACTCATCATTCCTTCCGCTGATGTTATGCGCCGCGTTGCCCTTCGTGCTCGTGCGTCAGCGCCTGGTCCTGATAGTCTCCCTTGCCGAGCCTGGTCACAGACTGCTGGGTCTTTGGGAGCTCTGGAAGGTGTCGCATGGAGCTTCTTCGAGACCGGCGTTTCCCCGCCCGCGTTCAACGGTTCGATCTTCTCGTTCATCCCGAAGGGCGAGGAGGAAACCGATCACTTCTGTTGCGCGCGTGAAGCAGTACATCTGCGACCGGTCTCGCGGACGAACACCGACTCGAAGCTCTTCGCGGGGGCGCTCAACCTGCGGCTCAGGACTCATGTGGAAGAACTTGCTTATCATGATCAACAAGGGTTTATTCGCGGACGCACTTTTTGCAGCAGCGCCCTGATGATGGACGCCAGAGGGCGCATGGCTCTTTGGAATGCTGGCGCGTCACTCGATAAGCCTGTCCTGCTTCTTTTCGATATAGCTGCTGCCTTCCCCTCTCTCAGGAGGCAGTGGCTCTTCCAGGCCATAAGCCAGTTCCAATTCGAGATGGGCTTTGTCAGTGCGGTCGCTGCGCTGTGCGACCAGGCGATAGGCTTCACCATTCTCGAAGGCCAGTACTACTTTGTCTGCCCCTTGGCATCTGGAGTAGCCCAAGGCTGCCCCTTATCTGGCACCACCTGGGCCATCGCGATGGATGTCGTCATCAGAGCTGTCAATGTAGTGATGCCCGCCCCCAAGGGCGGCAAGACGGGCGCCTGTGCCGATGATCTCGGTCTTTACCCTCAACGCATGGCTCTCATGGTTCCGCTGGTTGACGTTTTTCATCGAGCTGCGGTGCTCGGCAATCTACATCTCAATGTCAAGAAAAAATGTGTCATCTCACCCCTGCGGGCGAAGCTGACCAACGCGACCCGCGACGGCATCATCGCCTTCCTCCAGGGGCACCATCCCGACTGGGCCCCCTTCAAGGTTGCGGCTGACGGTCTGTATCTTGGTGCATGTGGCTCCTGATACGGACAAAGCTCGACAATGGGCTGCTGCTGGATCCAAGTGGTGGCAGAGAGTGGTGGCCATTGGCAGTGCGACAGCCGCCGTGGACGCCAATGCGAGGCTCTATCAGACGTCGGCGATCACCGTCCTCGGCTACCTGGCGCAGTTCTTTGATCTCCCACCCCAGCTCAAGCGAAAGGAGATCCATGCAGTTCACAAAGTTCCACGTATGCCTCCCAGCACCTTTCGCTTCAAATCTGTCCACTCGCTCAACAACTGGATGCCTGGCATTGCGCCGCGCACCCTGCTCGCTTACTCGCTTGGTTATCAATGGCGGGCCGCTCACTTTACCCTCAACCTGGTGCAGCCCCTGTTCCAGGAGTTCTTCGAGATGGCTCAAGCCGCTAGCGGACTCCCTGCGGTGGCGACGAACAAATAGTCGCCTGTCTTCTGGCAGGGACCTCAGGCGATTGTCCAGCGCCTCAGCGAGATGATGCAGGGCAGTTCCGCCCAAGTTCCAGCTCGTCGCCACCATGATCTTCTTCGCGCTGGTGTCATTGCTCACCGAGCGGTACTGGGCGCCGTCGAAGCTGGTACCAAACCCAAGCCGCAGCGCGCATTCATCGCGGCCCTGACCACCCTCTGGATGAAGAGCGGTTTCGAGATCACCATCGCCAAGCGGCTCTCGGCCTCGTATGGGGCTGCTCTCGTTCCGCACGACCTCAAGCTGCGCTGGACCATCCTCAAAAGCTTGCTGTTGACGGTAGCTCCTTCATGGCGGTGGATCACTCTGCGGACTCTCGCGGGTGGCTGGCACACGAGCTCTCGCATGCGCGTGACGCCCGATGTGGATCAGTGCCTTTTGGATGCTTCCAGCAGCCAGACGCGATCGCCCACTACTTGATCTGGGATCGTCTCCATCATCTGGCATGTCTGCCCCGTACCTTTTCGCAGGTCGCCGTGCTGGGGCGCCTGGGACTGGGACCTCACTATGCCGAGCACGGGGAACATTCGCTGTCGATGACTATCCAGCGCCTCGTCCTCTCATATTTCACGCGCCTCGAGGTCAAGACCCATGGCGTGAACGACTATACTCCTACAAGCACCACTTGGACGGACGTTTGGCCGCCCTCGACCGCCTCAACTTCGCGAAAAAGCTGCGCTGAGGTCCAGGCTCCCCGCCGCCGCGGCCCGCCGCCGCGTCACTTCAAGAGCCCGCCTTCATGCTGCTGCCGCTCCTCTTCCTCCTCCTCCTCCTCCTCCTCCTCCTTCTTCAGCAGCGCGCCGCTGCGGAGCGGCTGCGCGCGGGGGCCCGCCTGCGTCCAGGTAGTGACGGGCCGTCGGCGCTTCAGCTCAGAAAGCTCCAGCGAGCCTCCCAGCGGCGATCCCTGCTGCGGGCCCCGTATCGACGCCGCCTCGTCGTGGCGGGGGCGCGCGTAGACGCGGAGTGCCATTCGACGTCCGTGGAGAGGGGCCCGATGGTGATTATAGGCGTGCTGCGACAACACCGGGGCCCGATTTTCAGCGACCCGACCAGGACTACATCGACCGCCACCTCCCCGCCTACCTCGCGCCGCGTCTGGAGGCCCCCTCGCCGGATGCGCTGCGGGCTGCGTTGCGACGCGCCCGCCAGACGGCGCTGGGCCCCGACCGCCTTCGGGCCGCGGCCTGGCTCGTGGACGATCGCCTGACCGACGCCCTTCATGACCTCATGCTGGGACTCTTCACCGGCCGGCCGTCCCCGTGGAGGCTGAATTTTGCGGGCGTGGTCTTCGTTCCCAAGGGCACCGACCCGACGGACATCTTGGACGTCACTCGCCATGTGTCCAAGCTGCAACCCTTCTCCTGAAAAATTCGGGCGTGAAGGCGATGGCGGCGACGGTGCACGCCCAGCTGGCGCCACTGGTGGCTGATCGGGCCCACGGCTTGCAACGGGGCTTCGTCCGAGGCCGCGCTGTTCTTTCGCACGTCGTGCGTCAAGTTGCAGTCGCCCGAGCTGCTGGTCACCATCCCTCCCTCTTGTTTTTTTGTTTCGTTTGACATTCGTGCTGCCTTTCCCCCGCTCTCCCAAGTCTTCCTCTTTTGATCCTTGCTAGGCACCGCATGCCGAAGGGCTACACAAACCTGATAGCGGCTCTTTCTTCTGGGGCTCTCGCCCATTCCCGCTGCGGTTCCGCGAGGCCCCCCCTCTTCTTGGTGATCTCCAGAGTTGTCCAGGGATGCCCCCTTTTTGGTTTGTTGTGTGCTCTGATCATGGACCCGTTCTTGAGGCACCTTGCGGAGTAGCTGAAGTTTCAGCAGGCTCGTATGATGTGCCCCGGGCCATGCCGGTGGGCTCGAAAGCTTGAGCCGGAGTGCGGTGCGACGGCGGACGATGTGGGTGCGACGCTCCCGTCGGTTTGCCTCTTTCCTCTGCCTTTCCCTCCCCTCGTCGCCGCCCGCACCTTTGCCAATCTCTATTTGCAGCCAGCGAAGTGCGCCATCGTTCTTTTGGCCGAGCGGTGCTCAGACGCCGCAGTGCAGCAATATCGCCAGCAGATCCTGACCCTCATCCCAGCATGGGCTGATTTCAAGATCGCTGGATCCGTTGGGCTTCTTGGCGTGCAAGTCGGCCCGGCGGCGGAGCTCGATGCCCAGTGGGCGGGGCACCCACACGAAAGTGGCGCGAACGAGTTCGGGAAATTGCCCTGTCGCGAACCCCCACGGAAGCCAGCTGCCGCATTAATAACTTTGGCGCCATCATTGTGTTGAGTTGCCTATGCCAGCTCTTCCCTCCCCCCGCCTCCCTCCTCCGTGCGGAACGTCACGATTTCCACCGCCTCTTTCGCCTCCCCCAATTCCTTTGGCCTCGCTGAGCTCCTCAGCGTCGGTAGTTGGCTTGACTCGGCCACCCCACGTTCGCTTCGAGTCGAGCGTGCTGCTTCAGGGTGGCGTAAGGCATTCCACACGCTTCGTGAATTCGGGGACGGTGGGTGGAGGGTTTCGCTTGACATCCTGTCGTCGCAGGCTGAGAAGTTTGGGAGATTCCCGCGCGTCGCGATGGGGCGCAGTAGCCCTGGGTGCTGGGCGAACCCTGCCAGCGTTTGTGAATTCTTCGCTAGTTTTCCACCCGCCGCTTCCCATGCTTCGGGCATCCGTCGGGACGCGTGGCGGAAAGCGACGGCCGCGGCGCGTGAAGAGATTCGGCACGCTGGCGAGGAAATGCGCTGCGCTCGGCCGCAGCGAGTACTCGTCCGCTCCATCTCCTCCTCGTTGTTCCTTGATTTTGTCCCCTCGCTCCTAGGCCGCCGTCTCCAGAGATGGATCGTTGACCATGTTCCGGAGGACCCCTTCGGGATCACAGAGTTCATGGAACCCGGTCTGCACAACTCCTCAGCGCCCCCGCTCACAGAGCTGACCCAGAGATTGGCCGCGCTTCGCCATGTTTTGCGACACACTCCCCCGTCCTGGGCCTGGGCCCACCTTCAAGACACTTGCTGGCCGCCGGACGACGCCAGCTCGTATCCCCAGTGCCCCGTCTCGTCGATGTCTTCTCGGATGTACAGACGCCGAGTCCATGTTCCATTATCTCTCGCGCCCTCGCCTGCTCCTCTTCCTCGCTCTCCCTCGTGGCCATATCCTTGCCTGCCCCCTCACTCGTCTTGGCCTCGGCCCCTCGCCGGACGTGGAGTCTGAATACCCAGGCCATCGTTGTCACTACATCATCGTGTTGAGATTCCATATCTGTCACAAGCTGAAAGCTGACATTGCGCGCGGCACCCGTGCCCCCTCGCCTGGATACCACTAAGAATTACGAGCCGCTGCACTCGCCGCAATGCGCTGTTAGAGCGCTGGCAGTAGCTGGATCACAGTGGATTCAACCTGCGTGCGCTCCTCCTCCTCCTCCTCCTCGTCCTCCTCTCCTCCTCTCCTCCTCCTGGTCCTCCTCCTCCTCCTCCTCCTCTTCCTCCTCCTCCTCCTTTTCCTCCTCCCCCTTCTCCTCCTCCTCCTGCTCCTCCTCCTCCTCCTGCTCCTCCTCTTTCTGTTCCTCCTCCTTCTCCTTCCCCTCCTCCTCCTCCTCCTCCTCCTCTTCCTCCTCCTCCTCCTCCTCCTCCTCCTCCTCCTCCTCCTCCTCCTCTTCCCCCCCTGTACAGCTGGCCGGCACTTTCTCCCTATGTGTCGCGGATGCAGCGCTTGTTGGCGGATCTCGGCTGTATCGCCAGGGTGATGCCGCGCACGGTGCCGACAGCAGTGCCACGGAGGAGCGGTGCGATAAATGTGCTGCTCCGGCCCTTCCCCTGCCTCAAGGGGAGGGGCTGACCGCCGACGCGCAAGAGAGTCGTCTGTGGTCGCTTGCAGGGGAAAGGGGGGGGGGGGCAACTCCCAAACGTCTCGAGCACTCTCTAACCCCACCCGGCCCCAAGTTGGGCGGGGGGGGGTTCGACCCCTCCTTTTTTGCGCCCGACGTCCACGACCGTGATGATGACCACGAACGACCACGACCGACGACGACCGACGACGAAGACGCCGACGCCGACAACGACGACGACGACGACGACAACGACGACGACGACGACGGCGTGGACGAACCCGACGAATGCGACGACGCTGACGACGACTGCGGCACCGACGTTGACAATGACGACGACGCTGATAACAGCACGCTGACGCTGACGCTGACACTGACGACGACGACGACCCTTGGCCTGCCATCGGGCAAGATTTGCACATAAGGTCCCGCCCGCCCGCTCTTTT